AACCCATGGGCTCAGGCAATCCACTCACCTCAGCCTCCCAAAGGTGCGGGATTATAGGCTGAGCCACCAAGCCCGGCTAGCACATTACATTGTCTTAATAGTACAAAGATTCAAAGGAGAGAAAAACTATTTTGGACTAATGGCAAATGTATCTGACTGGAGTTTAAACTGCAAACAAGTGCAGTGAGAAATAAGGAGGTCAATAGGGCACACAGTCAAACACTTTTATTAGAAGTTTACTTTGAATTTTAAGACTAGCAGAGGCCAGCCACGGTGATTCAGGCCTATAATCCCAAAACTTTGGAAGGCCAAGGAAGGAGGACTGTTAAGAGGCCAGGAGTTCAGACCATAGCAAAACCCCATCTGAAAAAAATTTTTTTTAAATAGCCAGCTGAAGAGTGGTAGCATGTGCCTGTAGCACCAGTTACTTGAGAGGCTGAGGCAGAAAGACTGCCTGAACCCAAAAGGTCAAGGCTGTGGTGAACTGTGATCATGCCACTGCACTCTAGCCTGGGAGACAGAGTGAGACCCTGACTCAATAAATACATACATACGTACATACTATCGGGAATCAGTGTACAACTCTAAAGTGTACAGTTTCAAAATAATACTTGAGAATGATGCTTTTTGTAACTGTAGGAATAACAAAAGTACATTAAAAAGGCTGAAGGGAGCTATTAAGGAGAAATTCATGAACTTCGCAGCAACTTAGATGGATTAAGAGTCCATCACAGTCAATGATCTACCACAAAACAAAGAACTGAGTACCACATGTTCTCACTCATAAGTGGACCCTGAACACTTATCACAATACTACATGAAAGGGATTGGCAGTAGTGGGTCACTGCTGGGGGTGGAGGACAGGGGGTGGCTGCCACATTAACACTAATAAGGGTACCTGATCCCAGGAGAAGTGAGGACTAATGGAAAGCCCAAACTTCACCTGTACGATGACCGCTTATTTACCTAACCCTGACTTGTACCCCACATTTTTAAAATTTAAAAAAAAAAGGCAGCATCTGCAGGGATTATTTAAGCCTGACATTGTTAAGGAAAATGGGTTTTGTTTTGTTGCTATGGGCAAATGGGTAGTGGTAAAAAAAAATTGGCAAGACATTTATTTTCACTTCACTTTAAAGCATAGAGAGAAGGGATGAAGAGAAATACCCAAGACTTACCTTTGACAAAAGATTTGAATACATTTTTCAAAGTATATTTAGAATTTAAAAAACTAATTACCTTCATTCCTAGATGCAGAAGCACTATGAAACTTCCCCCTCCATCCCTTTATCTTAGTGTAGTCATTGGTTTTCCCTGTCCTAGAAACAAAAGGAAATCCAGCATCTATAAAAGAAAAAGTAAAAGAGATGACCAAATTTCAAGCAAGCCAATATTATGGATCTAATTAATTAATAAGACTTTATCTATCTGAACTGTATCAATAACTTATTAAAACTATGCCAGAAGATACAAGATCAACCTCAGAATACCCCAAATGTCTCCAATAAACTTATCTTTTTATTTATATCACAAATAACCTAACCTTTAAGAGAAATCGTTTTTGACCTTACAAATGCTACACACTCACCCGGAGAGGCAGGGTTGGTTCCTGTAAGGTTCCAAAAAAGAAAGCTAGTAGCTGGAGCCAAAGGTAGCTGTACACCCAAGTATTTAAGATCAATGCTCATTGCTGGATCCACTGAATTCAATTTTAAGCCCACTACAAGAAAAAAAGGAAACGATATTACCCATACATTAACCGCAAATCTTTATCTCACTTTTTTTTTGAGTTGGAGTCTCACTCTGTCACCCAGACTGGAGAGCAGTGGCCACTCCTGGCCACCGCAGCCTCGACCTGCTGGGCTCCGGTGATCCTTCCGCCTCAGCCTTCCAAATAGCTGGAACTACAAACACACACTACCACCCCAGGCTAATTTTTGATTTATTGTAGAGATGAGGTCTTGCCAAGTTGCCCAGGCGGGTCTCAAACCCGCGGGCTCAGGCAATCCACTCACCTCAGCCTCCCAAGGCGCGGGATTACAGGCTGAGCCACAGAGCCCGGCTATCTCGCTTTTTAATGTTTGGTTGGGGGATGGAGGAAGAGTCAATAGAAATAAAGGAGACAGTGAAGAGTAAAAATGATGAAACAAAAATAAACAGTAGCAGATTAACATTAAAGTGGCCTCATGATTAATGCCATCTGCTATTACAAATTTGTGTAAAAACCCTCTGGGTGTGGTAGGGCCTGTAATTAGTTTCTGATTATGACAAAGGAGATGGAATATACGTGATCAAATGCGAATGGTAACATTTAAGTGTAGCATCCATCTTGCTAGAGCTGCAAGGAAATCTCTCCAGTCAAGTCTCTGATGAGAAACCAGACCTGGCCAATTTCTTGACAGTAGCCTTGTGAAACCCTAGGCAGAGGACCCAGTGAAGCCATGCCCAGACTGGTGATACACAGAAACTGTGAGACAGTAAATACACAGTAAACTGTGAGACAGTAAATACACAGTAAATACTGGTGATACACAGAAACTATGAGACAGTTTGTGGTAATCTGTTAAGCAACAATACATAACCAATACATACGCAGCAAAATTCAGCCATGGCCCAGAGATTTTCTAGACTCTAATACAAATTTGCTATAGACTGACTTTCTAGTCTGACTATGGCTATTATTGATAACATTTACAGTTATTTGAGTCTGTAAATATTATGACTCTTTTATGTATAGGTTAAAAGGTAATCTTTGAGGAAAGTATTTAACTTAAGTTTGTTTTTGTTTTTTTGTTTTTTGAGTTGGAGTCTCACTCTGTCACCCAGATTGGAGTGCAATGGCCGCTCCCGGCCACCACAGCCTCGACCGGCTGGGCTCTGGCGATCCTTCCACCTCAGCCTTTCAAGTAGCTGGAACTACAGGTGCGCACTACCACACCTGGCTAATTTTTGATTTATTGTAGAGATGAGGTCTCGCCAAGTTGCCCAGGCGGGTCTCGAACCCGCGGGCTCAGGCAATCCACTCACCTCGGCCTCCCAAAGTGCTGGGATTACAGGCTGAGCCACCGAGCCTAGCCTGACTTAAGTTTTAACAAAATTGAAGAGGCTGGGTGTGGTGGCTCCCAGCACTTTGGGAGGCTGAGACAGGAGGGAGGACTGCTTGAGCCCAGGAGTTTGAAACCAACCTAGGCAACACAGCGAGACCTTGTCTCTACAAAAAAAATTAGCCAGGCATGGTGGTATGGTCCTGAAGTCAGCTACTTGGAAGGCTGAAGATGGTGAATTCCTTCAGCTCAGGAGCTTGAGGCTGAAGTGATCATGCTACTGCACTCTAGTCTGGGTAACAGATTGAGGCCTTGACTCAAAAATAATAATAATAATATACACACACGTTTTCTTAGAAGCCCTAATGTAGAAAAGTCATCAGCAAACAAACCTTATTCAAAATAATCCCCAATTTAGCTTATCCAGACTAACCTGACATATTTGCCCTGTAAGAAAATACCTGCCCAAGTAACAGGTATATGAGACCTAGACTGAGTTGACTTCATATCAATGAGCATAAATAACTTTAGCTTACAGAAAATAAGATAGCTGAGTAATTCAAAGAAAGCATATTGGTAAAAAGCCTAAAATCTTTTTATTTTTTTATTCAACCAGAGCCTACTCAGAACCTGTGTCAGTTTAAATTAAGTTATACTCCAAAATGCTTTTGCCTTATTTTACCCACATTAGAAGTTACTTCTTACAGACATATTATAATGCCATTATAAAAAAATTCAAAGATAAACTGAAAAAGAGATAACCTTTGTGTTTAAGCAAAGGCAGATTCCCCTAAGAGTTATGGCAAAAAAATGCCTGCTTGTTGCTAAATCCAATGAAATACAAAAAATTCATAAAAACATATTAGAAATGTTTATAATTATATAAACATCTACATAACTAGTAAACATATAACAGAAAAGCACATACTATAAGGAAAACTCAGCTAATCACTGACTTAATAGCACATTCAGAATATATATTCATTGCCAGGCAAAGAGGCTTGTGCCTCTAATCCCAGTCACTCAGGAGGATGGCTTGAGGACAAGAGTTCAAGATCAGCCTGGGCAACAAAGCAAAAACCTGTCTCTAAAAAAATTGTTATAAAGGAAAAATGTTCATTAAATAACTAAAAAGGAAGAGGCAGCGAGTTCCTGAAAAGACTGCCATTACTCATAAAAGAAATTAATGGCCGGGCTGTGGCTCAGCCTGTAATCCCAGCACTTTGGGAGGCCAAGGTGAGTGGATTGCGTGAGCCCACAGGTTCAAGACCTGCCTGGGCAACTTGGTGAAACTTCATCTCTACAATAAATCAAAAAAAAATTAGCCGGGCGTGGTAGCGCGCGCCTGTAGTTCCAGCTACTTGGAAGGCTGAGGCGAAAGATCGCCGGAGCCCAGCAGGTCGAGGCTGCAGTGGCCAGGAGTAGTCATTGCACTCTAGTGTGGGTGACAGAGTGAGACTCCAACTCCAAAAAAAAAAGAAATTAACATTAAGCTGACAAGAGCCCATCATGATAGAAATAAGTGAATATTTAAGCATATGGAGGAAAATAAACAAATCTCTGGTGCAAATTAATTCAAAATAATATATACAGATACTCTATACTCGAGGTACATCATACTTCCCACTTACCAAGTGTGGGCTACACTAATGACTTCTTTCCAATACAGTATGGAAAGAAGGAAAAAAAGTAACTTTACGGTGAAGAAACCTGACAATATCTCAGTCAGGCAATCAAGGTCACCATCAACAGTGATAAATCATGTTGAATATATATACCCTTGATAGGACAGAATGAGAATGACACTTTACCTATGTGATCTTCTTCCTAAGAACATATAACCCATGTAACCATCAGACAAATCTCCAACTGAGGGACATCTACAAAAAACACCTGACTAGTACTCTTCAAAACAGTGAGGGTCATTAAAAACAAAGTCTGAAAAACTGTCACAGCCAGGAGGATCCTAAGAAGACATAACTTCTAAAAGTATTGTAATATCCTAAATGAGATCCTAGACCAAAAAAGGACATTAGATAAAAACTAAGAAAATTAGAATAAAGTATGAACTTCAAATAATAATAATGTATCAATACTGGTTCACTAATCACAACACTAAAATAAGATGTTATCAAGATCAGAAACTGGGTGGAAAGTATGTAAGAATTCTCTGCACCGTATTTCCAATTTTTCTGTAAATCTAAAACTGGCTGGGCATGCCTGTAATCCCAACACTTTGGGAGGCTGAAGTGGGAGGAACACTTGAAGCCAAAAGTTCGAGACCAGCCTGGGCAACAAAGTAAGCCCTTCATCTCTACAAAATTAAAAAATAGCCAGGCGTGGTTACAAGTGCCTGTAGTCCTAGCTACCTGGGAGGCAGAATTTAAGTGAGAGGATCACTTGAACCCAGGGGTTGGAAGTCTCAGTGTGCCATGATTGTGTAACTGCACACCAGTCTGGGCAACAGTAAGACCCTGTCTCAAAAAATAAAAAAATACTTAAAACAGTTGTTTAAGTGCTATTTTCTAAAGAAGAATAAAACTCTACAGTTACAAGCAAGGGAAAGAAATCTGAAGCAAAATTTAACAAATTACTTCAAGCATCAATTTTTAGACATAACTTAGAATACTTTCAATGTCTTTGGAGACTTGGGAGTAATTGGCATCACTCAATTACTACAATTATTTAGACAAACTAACTTATTATTTTGAAGTTGTTTAAGTCTAGCTATTTAAAGGACGCAAAGGTTGGGGTGGAAGAAAATCTGTCAAAATAAAACAGAGAAAAAAATCCAAAACACAACTCTAACTTATACCTTGAAAACTATGTGCCACATAGATTACAGATTTAACAGTTAAAAAAAAAAACTATGTGTAAATGTAGCTGAATACATTTTAACAACCTTAGGATTAAATACAAACTTGCACTAAATGCAGAATCTATAAAAGCAGGTTAAAAGTGATGGCTCACAAACATGTTTTGTTTGGTTATGTTCTTAAAGCTTTGTTACTTGCCCAAAAAACTGCTGGCTGCCAACACTTGAGAGACATCACATAACTAACTCCAGTTTCTGTCAAACAATAGGAAGACCTGAGAATATTGGGCTTATTTTTCCATATGACAATAATCCACTGATGTGGCTGCCCCTTTAGAAGCGGTGACTGTGCTCCAGCTTACCAGCGTCCAACTCTACTCCCCAAATTCAGGTTAATTTCACTTAATTTACGTTACCTACTTAGTTTCTGCAAGTATTTAATTTTGGATCCCCATTCCATGATGGAAAAGATTACAGATATAACTACAATGCCTATAAAAGGGGAAAAAAGTCAAACCTTACCCAAAGTAACCAGAGCAAAAAGACTGGTTACAAGCACTAAATAGATCTAACGATAGAATTAAGACTAAAACAAATATGGGGATTAGGTTAAAAGAACATAATATAGCCGGTCAGGCTCAGTGGCTCAGCCTGTAATCCCGCGCCTTGGGAGGCCAAGGTGAGTGAATTGCCTGAGCCCGCAGGCTCGAGACCCGCCTGGGTAACTTGGCGAGACCTCATCTCTACAATAAATCAAAAAATTAGCTGGACGCGGTAGCACGCGCCTGTAGTTCCAGCTACTGGAAGGCTGAGGTGGAAGGATTGCCGGAGCCCAGCAGGTCGAGGCTGCGGTGGCCAGGAGTGGCCATTGCACTCCAGTCTGGGTGACAGAGTGAGACTCCAACTCAAAAAAAAAAAGAACATAATATAAATGTCATAATATTTCTACATTCTCAAAGTATATAACTAGCAAAAAATGGAAGTGAAAGAGAAGGGAAAGATAGGTAGGTTAAGTTCACTGATAGAGAAATCAGAGAATATTATTTAAATAAAATAGCAAAAAGTTAAAGCTGACAATAAACAATAGCAAACATGTTATCAGCAAGACATGTTGGAGATGGGACTGTCCATTACAATCCACAGCAACTAGTCCATATCACTTGAACTGAGACTGGAATTTGCATATGTTAGGGTGAGCATGGTGGCTCATATCTGTAATCCCAGCCATCTGGAAGGCTAAGGCAAGAGGACTGCTTGAGCCCAGAAGTTTCAAGACCTGCCTGGGCAAGACAGTAAGACCACATCTCTACAAAAAAAATTTTTTTAAAACAACAGGTATGGAGGCATGTACCTGCAGTCCCAGCTACTCAAGAGGTTAAGGCAAAAGGACTGTTTGAGCCTGGGAGGTCAAGCCTGCAGTTGGCCATGATCATGCCACTGAACTCCAGCTAGGTAAGAGTGAGATTCTAACTAAACAAATAAAAATTTTAAAAATAATTTTTAATTGCACACTTACAGTGTCATATAAGCTACTTCCCATTAAAGAAAAAGTTCAAGTATTATCATTTGATTTAGAAACTGAATGGTTGTTTTATTATAAATCATCCTTTTGATAGCTATGTTGACTCTCAGATAAATGATTTACCATATAATGCAAATAGCCTGCACAGCCCTCTGAAAACTGATGAGTCAAATATTCAATAAACTACTCCAAGAAGCACATCTAAAATCAAAGATATGTGTAAGAAACTATAGGATATGGCCTACAATCTTTCATTACAATGCAATTAACAGGAGAAAATCAGTAGTTATCATAACAGTAGTACGATAGTAGATATTATTTTCTTTCTTTTCTAAATTTTTATTAAACTTTCTTACACAGAGGCCTTGCTAATCTTCTCTGTATTGTTCCAATTTTAGTATTATATGCTGCCAAAGTGAGCATATCATTACTTTTTTTTTTTTTTTTTTTTGAGTTGGAGTCTCACTCTGTCGCCCAGACTGGAGTGCAGTGGCCGCTCCCGGCCACCGCAGCCTTGCCTGCTGGGCTCCGGCGATCCTTCCGCCTCAGCCTTCCGAGTAGCCGAAATTACAGGCATGCGCTACCACACCCGGCTGATTTTTTTATTTATGGTAGAGATGAGGTCTCGCTGCCCAGGCGGGTCTCGAACCCGCGGGCTCAGGCAATCCACTCACCTCAGCCTCCCAAAGGCGCGGGATTACAGGCTGAGCCACCGAGCCCGGCTCATATCATTACTTTTAAAAATAATGTAGGAAGCCGGGCTCGGTGGCTCAGCCTGTAATCCCGTGCTTCGGAGGCTGAGGTGAGTGGATTGCCTGAACCCGCGTGTTCGAGACCCACCTGGGCAACTTGGCGAAACCTCATCTCTACAATAAATCAAAAATTAGCTGGGCATGGTAGCGCGCGCCTGTAGTTCCAACTACTTGGAAGGCTGAGGCAGAAGGATCACCGGAGTCCAACAGGTCGAGGCTGTGGTGGCCGGGAACGGCCACTGCACTCCAGTCTGGGCGACAGAGTGAGACTCCAACTCAAAAAAATAATAATAATAATGTAGGAAACATAAGCAAAGCCAAGATAATGTATTACAATAAAAATAAAAATAATGAAAACTTTAAGTTCTCAGTCATACATCAAACATATAAAATACGTTTTCAATAATCAAGAGCGAAAAAGTTAAAAATATATACATATGTGTTTGCAGTTACACATTGAGAGAGAAAAGTATTCATCTATTTTCACACCTAAATATATTACTAAGAATATAACAACAAGTAGGACTCTCACCTCTAAAAATTAAAAAAACTAAATAAACACATAAACAAAAGTAACCAAGTTAAGATGAGAAAAAGGAGGGCAGTGGGGAAAATACCAGGTTATGAGGATGAACAAAGAAAAGACTACTTTCTCAAGGGTACCTGCGTGATCAAGGTTTACATACCTAACCCTGAATTGTACCCCACATCTTTATAAAAATTAAAAAAGAAAAGAAAATACCACCTTCTTACCATGACACATTTTTTTTGTATATAAAATACTATGATGAAGAAGACCCAGAAACGTTTTTAAGCCAAAGGGAAAAATTTTAGAAGCAGAGAAGATGAAAATATGCAAACTGAAGGGGCACTAAAAGAAAATAAATCAAGGATGGAAAGGAAGTACATAAACCAAAAAAGTGAGGGGGGTGGAAAGAAGAGAAGGAGAGGAAAAAGAGTAGGGAAGAAAAAGAGAACCGAAAAAAAAAATTGGCTTGTATATCTTTTAGAGAATATTACCTTCTTGAAGACCAGGATGTATCACCTGCTTGTGCCGCAAGGACTTCAAATCTTCTATCAATTCCTTTTCTAACTGAGAAATTCTTGCTCTGCAACCTACTCACAAAACAAACAGTAATAAAATAAACTACTGTTCACAACAAAAGGAAGAATGTTGCATATTTCACTATTGGACCCCAAACCACAAATACATCTTGTTTTGTACTATTTTATAATACCTGAGTCATTTGTGGCTGATGCCTGAAGACTAGAGGGTTCTTCTGCTGTTGCATCAACTGCATGAATGTCTAGAGCTTCCTATATCAAAAAACAAAAAAAGTAGTTCATATAATTTCTGAAAGTTTTAAAAAGTAAAGTAGGAGTTAAGAGGAAAAATTACAGACTAGGAGAAAAATATCACCATATTTACAGTGATAACTCTAAATTCACAAAACCAAAAATATTTTTATACTTTTTGATGTTTTCTAAATATTCTACATTAACATTTCTTTAATAATCAGAAGAAAAAAACAAAAAAATCTGAATATATCATATTCAGCTAACTAACCTCATACTGTGTACCAATTTGCATGTTAATTTCAGTCTATCTAGCTAGCTTATTCACAAGTGGAAAGAAAATAACAGGTAGAATGGATTAAACATCCAACATTTGTATAGCCAATTAATAAAGACTAGGTTTCTATAAACCTAAAAGAAATATAATCTAGTTGAAGAGTCAGAGTAGATTAAACAAAGAGACTAGCAATGTATAAGACAGCAGAGTTAAGAAGACTACTAATATCTAGTTCTCCACAGATACTCTACTACTACTAATGAAACCCAGAAAGAAAAAGGAATAGGATGCCCCAAAAAAGTGAGCAAACTTTTCATGTATTTTTATGCCCTTTTAAGGTTCATAATGGTAAAAATTCCATTAAGACTGAAATATTGCCGGGCTCGGTGGCTCAGCCTGTAATCCCACGCCTTTGGGAGGCTGAGGTGAGTGGATTGCCTGAGCCCGTGGGTTCGAGACCTGCCTGGGCAGGCGAGACCTCATCTCTTCAATAAATCAAAAAAAAAAAAAATTAGCCGGGCGTGGTAGCGCGCGCCTGTAGTTCCAGCTACTTGGAAGGCTGAGGTGGAAGGATCGCCGGAGCCCAGCATGTCGAGGCTGCGGTGGCCGGGAACGGCCATTGCACTCCAGTCTGAGCGACAGAGTGAGACTCCAACTCAAAAAAAAAAAAAGACTGAAATATTTATTTAAATTCAGCTAAACACAGAGTAAAAATCATGAACTGAGATCCAAGAAGACATAATGTTTAAGTCCATTCAAATGAAATATTTTAAGGAATGCCTATATCAAACATTGTAGAGACACTTCCCTCCCCACCTCATCCCACACATACAAATAGATGCATTCACAAAACTACATTATGAGTTAGTTGTAAGACAGTATACAATTTAAGAATAACTAATTAGCCTTAGAAAGAATGCTGAAAAATTACAATCTTACCTTTGATTCAAAGCAAACAAAGAGAACACCATCCACATCTTCCAGATCAGGTTTCACATCAGGAAAGTTACTTCCAGGACCTACAGGGGTATTCTTTGTAGAAGTTAAAGACTTTCCTGGGTTTCTAGGTGGTCGCCCTGCCTTAGAGAGTTTCAGTTTTCGTGGCCTTCCTCTTTTTCCAGGGGCATTTGGAGAGGCATTCTGATTAGCATTCCCTGCCTTTGGGGCTGTTGCAATCTTAAGCATAGCTGTTCTCTTTCTGCTCAAGTCCTCTTTTCCTGAAAGGGAGTCCCCAGCTGAACCCTTTGAACTGTCCAGTATTCTTTCTGTATTAATGCTATCAGACATATCAGGATAGTTCCACTGAAGCTCTTTAAGTAAGGGATATTTTTGTACCACTCTGAGATCTGGTGAATGTTTTCTAAAACCATTTTCTGATTCCTTGCCTAAGCAGAAGCCAGTTCCACTGGAATTTTCAATGTATGCAGGCAAATATTCGAATTCTGCCAACAAAGATTTATCCTTTCGCGATGTGGAAAGCATGTTATCAGGCAACTCAGAAATCTTCACCGTGCTTTTGGTGACAGCACAGGGCTCCAGATAGACTACTGGCATCTTTCCAGTGTCTAATTTGAACATTTTAGCTTTAGCAACACCTGATGGACTGCTTGGAAGCCATTTAGAAGAAAGATCGTCAGCTTCTAGGTTGTCAACTTTATTGTGTCTCTTTAGCTGTTTCTCTAGTATAGGATCATCATCACTGTTTGAGTACACATCTGTCTCTTCATCTGTCTCTTCCTGTTTCACAGTGACCCCTTCTGGGCACTCACTAAGATCATAGTCATAATCATCTAGAGGTTCCTCTTTAATGACAACATTGAAGTTTCCATTCTGGTCCAATGGTGATGAAGCTGTATGACAGACATCTTCAAAACTGTTGGCAACAAGACTGGAAAAAGAAGGGAGAGAAGAATATAAAGTACAGAAAAATCAACTAAATAAGACTCAGAGAGAAAAAACATCTTGGAACCCAAGTAACACAGAGATTTCATGAGCCATTCCTCAAAAACTCTCTGTATAACCTAGCAAGGTTCTCAAAAGCAGTTTATCAACACCATGAGTAAAGTTTCCTCTCATCATTAAATCAAAGTGTAAAGATATGTTACAACAATTTTCTTCCTTTAGGTATTTTTCAAATGAACCCAATTTTGAAAAACAGGTGATACTGACCCAAATCAAACTCTAAAATTCCAAATACTGACTAACAGTCCAATAAAGCAAATACATGTCCATCACAACTAAGAATTGCAATCAACAGGAAAGGGCTTTCAAATTGCCAGTTGATTTTTTCCTTTGTGTTTAAGATAAAATTCACATAACAAGAAATATAACATCTTAACCATTTTAAAGTATACAATTCAGTGGTTTTTAGTATAGTCAGGATGTTGCCAGATTAAAATTCACCATAAATCCCTCCAAAATAAAAGTGTAGGGTAGTTAAAGGGAAATACATTTGACCCAGATATGTTGTGTGTAATTCATTAAAAAAAAACACCATAAACATATAGTTTCCTCCTCTTCTCAATCAGTCATTGAAAGTACAAAAACTGGAGTGAGGGAGGGAAGAAGATGGGGGACATATAACAACAAAGGGTACTTGGTTCACTACCAGGGTACCCTACATTCCTGTTATAAAATAAAATCTAAAAACAAAACACAAAAACAACTATACCAATGTATCTTGAGCATATAGGGCTAAAGAATCAGGCTAATTATCTAAGATGCCACATAAAGCAGTATAGATGGAATTAGAATTCCCAAATTCATAAATTCCAAAACTCTTAATCTCTATACCTCCAATTTTTTTCCCCAAAAATATCCACACAAGTCAACATGTTAGCAACACATAGAAGCAGGATGAAAACTGCTTTGAGAAAAACTATACACACCCACAACATTTATTCACTAACAAATAATATATAACAAAGTAGGATTGTGGGCTTTTTAAAAACTTCAGTCTATCACTGGAAATAGCATTCATGCAAATAAAATATTTTGATCTGATCAGATACTTTTTAAGAAGTTAAGTGAGTTTCTATTAGTAGTGTGAAATAGCTCACAGCAGCCTAACCCTCCTCCAATCAGAACTAGATAAGCTAGACTTCAAAGTTGTTGTTTTTTTTTCTCAGAATATGGTTTAAAAATCTGTAAGAAGATATCCAAAAGCTAGCAAGGTAGTGATGACTTGAGGGGCCAGAATACAAACAAGGGCAATTTAAGTAGACACCTCAATAATTCAGGTACTTTTCCATCCATTACCTTCATTACTCAAGTTATTTTCCTAAAATGTTGAACTGTACTCATGTTACTTCCCTGTTCAAAAGCATATCACAGGCTTCTAAAACTAAAGAAAAAAGTGACCTGTATTCTATTCCATATAATTCAATCACACAGAAAGCTTGACTTTAGTGTCTCAGCCCAATAAAATACATTTCCAACACCAATCCATCATTAATAAAGGACTAACTTTTTTCACTACTTGCCAACCCTAACCCAGTCACCACCGTCATTATAAAACTTTAGTTTATCTCAAATATGCACAAGCAGTCACTACATAAATATGCAGTTACTTGTTCCTTGCACAATTTACTTAACCTCACTCAAAAATCCTTCAGTGAAGGATTTCTACTTCCAGTTAGAATGTGGAAGATTACAAAAATCCAATCACATCTGCCATAACAAAGAGAAAATACTACATAAATTATTTTTCCTAAAAGCCACTGAAGACCTCTGGACGTAAGTCTTAAATGAATTGAATTCCAGAGAAGGACCAGCTTTCCATAGGTGACTAGAGATTGGTCAGCATTTGCACTGCTTGAAGATACAGTGAGGAGAGAAAAATCAGTTATAGGCAAAGGACCTTTGTGGAAACATAGAGAAACCAACTAAACTTTTAATGCCTGAGCACGAGCAGGCTGGAATCTGAAGAACCCAAAAGAGAAACTGTCCTCACTACCATCCAGTTAGCCTCCAGCGGACTTTTGTAGAATAAGTAGCAGTTGCAGGAAAGTTGGCCTAAAAACAGAAAGAGAATATGTAGTCTCTCCCAGTGAGTAGTTATAAGGTCTTGGCAGAGATAGGAGCCAAATCATACCCCTAATACAGCTGAAACCAGAGGTAAGCAGAAATTTACTAAAGTAGCAAGCTACTTGAAATCACCTAAACTAGAGGATAGAAAAAAGAATACAATGACTGTCAGATATCTGTGGGACATCATCAAATGATCTAATGTACCAGTAACTGCCCTTCCAAAAAGGCAGAAAAAAACAAGAAATATTTAAAGAGAAAATGAACAAAAATCTTCCAAAAGTAAAAGACTTTAACCCACAGATCCAAGAAACTCAGCAAACAGCAATGAAGTCAAATACAAAAAAAGTCATACCTAGGTACAGCAAAGTCAGGCTGCTGGGAGGGTAGGGGTGAGCAATTACCTACTGGGTACAATGTGCACTAAGAGGAGTGACCGGTACACTTAAAGCCCAGACATCTTTAGCACTATACAAACCAGTCATGTAACCAAAAACCATTTATACCATTAAAGTTACTGAAGAAAAAAAAGTCAAGATGCTGAAAAGTAAAGATCAAGAGAAAAACCTTGAAAGCAGCAGAGGGAAAAAGTTACACTATACTTGAAGAACAACAATGAGAATAGACTAACTAGATCGACTCGTTAGAAACTATGCAAGCCAGAAGACAACATGCTTTACCCATTACAAAGCGTTGAAGACAAAAATTGCCAATCTAACATTTGCACCTACCTAAAGAAGCCTTTAAAATTGAAGACACTTTCAGACGGCTGAGAGAAATCAGACTGCACAAAAATACTACCTCCTAAAATCCCAAATGAGAGAAGGATATCAACTCTTGCCACTTTTACTCAACTTTACTAGATATTCTACCAGGATGATTAGGCAAGAAACAAAAATAAAAGGCATCCAAACTGTAAAGAAAGAAATAAAACATCTCTATTCACAAGTGGCATAATCTCATATGTGTAAAACACTAAGGAATCCACTAAAAAATTATTAGAATTAACAAAGATGGCCAAGCACGGTGGTTCACACCTATTATCCCAGCACTTTGGGAGGCCAAGGTGAAAGAATTATCTGAGCTCACAGGTTCAAGACCAGCCTGGGCAACTTGGCGAGACCTCATCTCTACAATAAATCAAAAAATTAGCCGGGTGTGGTGGTGCATGCCCGTAGTTCCACTGCAGCAGGCCAAGGCTGCATGGCAGTGAGCGTGCCACTGCACTCCAGTCTAGGTGACAGAGTGAGACTCCAACTCAAAAACAAACAAAAAAACCCAAATGATTTGCCAAGACCAATACATACACACAAACACAAACACACACACACACACACACACACACACACCAATTATATTTCACACTGGCAGCCACCATCAAAACTGAAGTTGAGAAAACAATTGCATTTACAATAGCATCAACAAGAATAAAACATCTAGGGACAATGAAGTATACATGGAAAACTAGAAAACACTGTTAAAACAAATTAAAGACCTAAGTAAATGGAAAAATATCCCATATTTATGGACTAGAAGATTTCATATTGGTAAGACAGCAATAATTCCTAAAGTAATCTACAGATTCAATGCAATCCCTACCAAAATCCCACCTGGAATTTTTTGTAGAAATGGACAAACTGGCCCTAAAATTCATACGAAAATGCAAAGGACCCATCAAAAAGTCAAACAATCTTGTAAAATAGAAACAAAATTCTCAGAAGACTCACATTTCCCAATTTCAACTTACTACAAAGCTACAGTAATCAAGACCGTATGATATTAGCATAAGACTAGATATACAGACTGAATGAACAGAATTGAGAGTCCAGAAATAAATGCCCACATTTATGTCAAATTGATCTTTAATTGCTGAAAGTGTCTAGACAGATCAATCTAGACAGATCAAGAAGGGAAAGAATGGTCTTTTCAAGACACAAAGCTCTGTTCACACAGAAACAAATGTTCATAGCAACATTATTCACAACAGACAAAAAATGCAAACAACCTTGCTGTCCATTAACTGATAAATAAATAAAATGTGACATCTACATAATAGAATATTTTACAATAAAAAGAAATGAAGTACAGATACATGCTAAAACATGGATGAACCTTAAAAACATTAAGCTACGTAAAATATGACAGCCGGGCTCAGTGGCTCAGCCTGTAATCCCGCACCTTTGGGAGGCTGAGGTGAGTGGATTGCCTGAGCCTGCGGGTTCGAGACCCGCCTGGGCAGCGAGACCTCATCTCTACAATAAATCAAAAAATCAGACGGGCATGGTAACGCGCGCCTGTAATTCCGGCTACTCGGAAGGCTGAGGCGGAAGGATCACCGGAGCCCAGCAGGTCGAGGCTGCGGTAGCTGGGAGCGGCCACTGCACTCCAGTCTGGGCGACAGAGTGAGACTCCAACTCAAAAAAAAAAATGACAGACAAAGAAGACCACATAATATTCCATTTGTATGAAATGTTCACAGTAGACAAGTTTTCAGAGACAAAAAGGATACAAAGCGGCTGTGTGACACTGAGAAATTAAGAGAAAATTAAGAGTGACCAGTAGACAGCATGCGGTTTCTTTATAGGGTGATAAAAACATCCTCAAACTGACTATGACAACGGTTGCAGAACTCCATAACCATACTAAAAAAGGCTGAACTATAAACTTTAAATGGGTGCATTTTACAGTAAGTTAATAATATCTCAATCTTTTTAAGTTAAAAAAAATGACTAAAAGAAGTCCTTCAGACTGACAGAAAACGAACCAACATAGGCTGGCGCAGTGACTTACATCTGTAATCCCAGTACTTTGGGAGGCAGAGGTGAGAGGACTGTCTGAGTCCTGGGGTTCGAGACCAGCCTG